AATGACATTTGTATAATATATTGTAAGTTGTAAGGGTATTTGTAATGTTAGATATACAATACAGTTACTAAAAAAAAAGAAATAGATACTTTTTTATGAGACGGACTAAAATGAAAAAATGGATACTTTGTTATAGGACGGAGAAAGTATTTTGCATGTGCTTTTGCTTTCATTCTTCATATTCAATGCACAATTATTATTATTATTATTTGTTTAAGAAATTATTATATTCAATATAATTTATTCAAAAATATTGTATCAAAAAATATTATAACTTCAAAACATTTTAAACCCAAAATATTGTTTTATATTTTTAAATTTAGGTGTGAAACTATTAATTAATTACATTTTTTTTTTTTAATCACTACTATATAAAAAAACTGTAGAAGTGGATGAAAGTGATAAAGTTTAGAAGTTGATAAGTATCTTTGATTAAAAAAATGGTTAAAGTAACAAATATATATATATAATTAAATTAGAGTGGTTAGAATATTCTTAAGTATTATTCTTAATATAATTAATAAATAAAAACCTAATTTAAAAATAAAAAGATTGGCAAACCAAAAAATTAAGAAAAAATAATTACAATATAATGAAATACCTAGAAATTGAATGAAAAGAAACATTGAATTTTTTCTGTGGAATGAATTTTTATTTTTTTTTAAGTCTATTGAAATTTGAATCCAAATATAATTTCTAGTCATATAAAAATGAAAATGACTGAAAATTGTGTATAAGAAAGTTGTTTGACTCAAACTTTTGGACTGAAGAAATTTGATGTTGAAATGCCATTAAGAAAACTATGGTGTGTTCACTTATATCTTATTTTTATTTTAATATTTTTAATTTAACATTATTATTAAATATAATATTTTATATATAAATAAATATTTAAAATGATAAGTTTAATGAATAAATGATTTTTGTTTTCTTAAATTTTTCGTCTCGTGCTTTATTTTTTGAATGAAAATTATTGTTTTTATTTAGTTTAAATTCCATCTTTATTCGTATCTGATAAATATATTTTCTCCGTTATGTAAATACGTTCATTTGTTTGAATACGGAGAAAGTAGCAAATATTTATATAATACTATTGTATAATACATATTTTAATAGCACATTATATAATTATATTTAATAAAATATTATTATGATTTCAGCATAATATATATATATATTTTTATCGGATCTACATAATATATTTTGAGTCAATCAACAAATATTTATAAAGAAAATAACAAATATTAAGATAATATATAGAGACAAAATATATATCATCTATTTTTTGACGAAATATTAATCGCTTTAAATTCATGTGTTATTTTATCTGTTTTGTAACAAATTGTTAATTATTGATTTGCTAATTTGATCAGTGCTGATTTGATCTCGCCAGTTTCCTAACTGCCGCCTTGTGTATATATATATATTATTCTCCATATTTATTTTTACACATATAACATCTCGTCGAACATATGTTTTATAACAAAAAAACACAAAACAAAACAAATATTGAACATATCTACTTTCATATTACGAATGTGAATTCAAGAAAAATGTTAGATAATTATTGGTATTTTTAAATATTTTAAATATTATATTTCAATAAAATATATACAATATGAATATCATTTTGTAGAAAAAAAAATTTTATATGATACAAATAAATACAAATTTATTTATTTATTTATAATTCATTTAAAATTAATTTTATAAAAAATAAGAGTTTTGAAATATAAAAAAATAGATTTTGAGTGAGTCTACCTTAAGAGCTTATAAATTTAATTAAATTGATTTATTTATATTAATTGTGTTTAAAATAAATAAATTTTACTAAAAAAAATATCATCTTTTATGGGGCGTATAAAAAAGAAATAGGGATTATTGTCGGGACAAGGGGGAGCATAATATTTTCTAAAGTATATCTAATACTCCCTCCGTTCATTTACAAGGGTTACATTTACTTTTGGCGCGATGTTTAAAAAATAATAGTATTTTAATTATAGTGAGTAGTTAAAAGTAGTGTAATGACATTTTTTCCTTTACTTTTTTTGTGTAAAAGTAATGATGTGATGTAAAGTAAGGGTATTTGTGAAAAAAAAGTAAAGTATTTAATGAAATATAAACTTTGTAATTAGACGTCCCAAAATAAAAATATGTAAACTTTGTAAGTGAACGGAGGGAATATATTCTTTCCATCCCAGGATAATAGGGACATTTGTAATAAATACGAGAATTAACGAACAATAGTATTATATTGATAAAAAAATAAGTATACACTTTTAAAATTAAAAAATATATATAATTTATTATCCAGCTTAAATAAAGTAGTGATTATAGAAGCTTCCACGTGTCTTCAGTTTATAAAAGTAGTTTAAAGAACAAAAAAGGATTATCACGTGTTTAGTAGAGTATTATTAGCAAATTAATTATATCTCTACCTCATGTAAACATTTTATTTATTTATTTGTAAAATTAAGAAATAATAATAATAAACAATATTAGGGAAAAAATGTGTAAAAAGATTTTTAACAAATATGTCATTTGTCATTTATAATTTATACATAAAAATTATAAGTTTTGTCGGATGGGCTGAATGACCGTCTCACCTAAAAACTCAATAATTATAATGAAAAGTCACACGGTTTGTTTGCACTACAAATTTTTTTGACATAATTTCTAATATATTATATTCTTTTACAAGAAATCAACGTTCAACACAAAATATTATTTTTTATATTATCGACATAATTTTTTATATTTTAAATAAAAAATTCATTAAACTAAAAATGCTAAGTAAACAAACGCATAGTATTACTAAACTCGAAGAGTTAAAAGAAAAGGTTACGCAACATTTGACGAATAAATATTTTAAGCATAGAATTCCATACAAAAATTATTTTTAATAAACATATTTTCGCCATAAATTTTAAATATTAGCAATATTCAACGTTGAATTGACAATAATAAATAGACAATCGTATCCAACACGTATATATATATATTAATTAAAATAAAAAATTTGACATAATTAATTTCAAGACTATTTCACACCTACATATGTAACAAGAAGAAAAGAAGTTTCCTAGATATCATCCAAATGCTTTGCAAATTCTACGAAATGATAAGCGAAATGTCGATGAAAATGAGAATAAGTAGACCCATTTTTCACATGATGATACACTCAATTATTGTGTCATCCACAAAGAGACAACACAATACACACAAAAATCTCATCACTAACTAAATGTTGCGTTATTTTTATTTTACGACGGAATAAGTATCTGCATTCATTACTATTTGAGCGCTTCGTAGACAAATTTTCAATCGCGTAATAGTCTGTAAGCTATGCCAGTAAAATAAGTCATATTAGTCAAGTTTTATGTAGCAAATAAGACTTATAAATATCAGAGAGTTTTAAATTCATGACTTTACGATCACAAATTCGCTTCATATTTTTTTTACAAAGACTATTTTGTAAACAAATATTATACTCCCTTTGTCCGGGAAATCTAGCTCATTTGGGCTCGACATGTGGATTAAGAAAAATGAATATTTTATTAAGAAAATAGAAAAAGTAAAAGGTAGTTGAAGACATTTTTAAAAATTTAATTAGAAATTAAAGATAATTGAGAGATAATGTAATAAAATGAGTGATATTTACCGTAAATAATAGTTAAATGAAGGTAATAATTAGATATTGATTTTTTGACTTTTCTAAATATAGTAATAATGTAAATTTAATGGATGGACAAAAAAGAAAGTGAGAATAAATTTATCGGACAGAGAGTAATACTTCATTTGTCCACATACAAACTAAATATTTACTTTTGGCGCCATGTTTAAAAAATACTTGTATTTTAATTTATAATGGATATTTAAAAATATTGTAATGATATTTTTGTTCTTATTATTTTTATTTTTTTGTAAAAGTAATAATGTAATGTAAACTAAAAATATTTATAAAAGAAATAGGATATTTAATAAAATATTTATTTTGTAATCGAATATTTCAAAATAAAAATATATATAATTTACCACTTCTATTAGCGTTGCCATGAATAAATGCGGCTTAAAAAAATATTATAAATATAAAATATTAATCTATTAAATAGCATCATGGTATTTACAAATATCATATTCAATAAAGGAGACATCATCATGTTATAAGATCTCAAAAATATATATACTAAATAAGGAAAAATATATTATATAGAAGCCCAAAGCCCATCACGAGCCGAGCCGAGCCCAGCCCAGACCAAAAAATAAAAAATAAAAATGTAATCCGGCCCATTAGATCATCTTTTTACTCTCATGGCTTCATTCCTATATGGACACTCTACTTCCACATTTTATATATTCTTCCACTCTATTTTTCGGATTTCATGTCATGTGGGGTGGATATTAATTATATTTAATTATTTTTTACTTTAAAAATATTACAAAGAGTTTGTATATACCCAAAAAAAAAAAATAAAAAATTATAAAGTGTCTGAAACGGGGAGTGAGTATTAATTTAAACAATAGTTATATTTATAATATTAATTCAAAGCAAATATTTTTCTTTTAAAAAAATTACTCCCTCCCTCCGATGTATTTTGGACGTGTTATTGTACGTATTAATAGAAATAATTATTATTTAGTAAAAATTATTATAAATTAAAATTAAAATAAGTAAATAGTTTAATTAAAATTAAAAATATTATAAAATTTAAAACTTAATATATATGTGATTAAAGTAGATAATAAAAAATAAAAATAAAAATACGTGGGACAAATAAAATAAAAAATAAAAATAAATTATTTAAGAGTGAAGAAGTATTATTTTATCAAAATTTAAAATTATATAATAAGAGAGAGAGAGTGCTGACATGGAAACAAAAAACTAGCCCGTCCCAGTAGTCCAAGAAATGGTGGCCAGCGTTCAATGACCGTACACTACACAACGTTCACACACACAGTTTTCCATCCACACCACAATTTTGATCTACAAAAAGACAACACGCCGTTGCTCTGCCCATCCTTCGATTTCTAGAACCTTATCGACCATCGACTCCAACCCCGGCCTTATTCTGGCCTCAAATCTCTCTCTTTCTCTGCACAGACATACATACATGTATATGTATATATATATAATCCCTCCCCAAGGGTTTGTCTTTTGTGCTCGGAATATAATATTCATCTCAAGGTTAATTTCTTCTGGCTTTTTCTATTTTTTACTTTTCTTTCTTTGTTTTATGAGAATGATTGGTGTCGTTTTGGAGGGGAACCAATGGTGTGCATCTTTCTCAATTTTTATATTAATTTATTTATTTTCTATGGTGATTGTTTTGCAGATACTCCATTTGCAAATTCCCTAGTTCGGCAAGAGTTGGGATTTGTCTGGATTGTAGTTTGGAGTTTTCTATTTAAATCATATTTGGGCAGTAGTCTTTACACTCAGAAGAATCTGAACCTTTTGCGTTTTTTAATTCGGGGCCATTTTTCAGAACCAAGAACAAGATTATAGAACAGTTTAGATATTACTAAGGTTCTTCACATTGTCTTTTGAGTATGTCTGCTGCCCTTTTGTGGATTGCCTCTCCCATTTTCGACATCGAGTCGAGCTGCAATGCTGTGATGAACAGAGATAGAAAAACCAGGTTGAGTTATGGCTGGTTGGGAGGATCAGTGATAGGGAGCAAAGGGAGGAGAGTGATCATGGCGTCGAGTGTGGTCGCAAGTCCGGTAGGCGATGTGGCCTTAAGATCATCGGAGCAGAAGGTTTATGAAGTTGTATTGAGGCAGGCAGCTTTGGTGAAGAAGAGATTGGGAAATGAAAAGGATATGGATGCTAGGACAGATATCGTGCTGCCGGGGTCTCAAAACTTGTTGAGCGAAGCCTACGAGCGTTGTGGTGAAGTGTGCGCCGAATATGCTAAGACATTTTATTTAGGTTCGCGCGTAGTTGTTATTAATTTGTTCATCGGATTTGTTCATTATGTATGTGTTGTAAGAATTGGTTTAAAGGCTGTTTTAGCTATAACTCTTTTTGCCGTTTTTGAATAGGGACTATGTTGATGACACCTGAAAGAAGACGCGCCATATGGGCAATATATGGTAAGGCCACTTGTTTCATTGCTAAAGTTCGTCTTTTCAAAGTTGTTATTTTTGATCGGACGGATGAGATTTGAGAGTCGATTTTAAATGAATGTATTTAAATTACCTTAGATTTGGACTTTGTGGTTTTGAAATGCATTGTGTTATTACTTCTAATGTGTTGCGGCCCATGATTTCGATATCCATTCTTGTAATCTTGATGAATTTTCATTTTTCTTTCCTTAAGATAGGTAGAAATTTAATAAACCGATGCGATGCTTGATCGAAATCCGAGAGTTATTTCAGAGACAGGCTTCGATCATTTTGTTTTTTTTTTTTCAATAGTGTGGTGTAGGAGAACAGACGAGCTCGTTGACGGGCCAAATGCATCGCATATAACTCCAATAGCCTTGGATAGGTGGGAAGCGCGGCTCGAAGATATTTTTAAAGGACGCCCTTTCGACATGCTCGATGCAGCTTTATCAGATACAGTCACAAAATTCCCCGTCGACATCCAGGTAGTTGTTATTCAATTTCTACATTGTTGCTTTATGAACAAACCTTATGTTTTTACACACTGATAAATGTATTCGAGTGATCTTATATGTTACGAGGAAAACATTCGTTCATTTCGCAAAAATGTTCGTCTACTTGTAGCCGTTTAGGGATATGATCGAGGGAATGCGAATGGACCTTCGGAAGTCAAGATACAACAGCTTCGACGAACTGTATCTATATTGTTATTATGTAGCCGGGACGGTGGCATTGATGAGCGTACCCGTTATGGGCATAGCGCCCGAGTCGCGGGCCACGACGGAGAGTGTCTACAACGCTGCATTGTCATTAGGCATTGCGAACCAGCTGACGAATATACTCCGGGATGTGGGAGAAGAGTAAGTACCGAATCGAGCAATATTAAATTGAGATTTTTCGGAATTAGGTTTAGTTGTCGACGTAGTTTTGATGTTATTGCTTAACTGTGCCAGCGCGAGACGAGGAAGAATTTATCTACCACAAGATGAATTGGCGCAGGCGGGGATATCAGAGGAAGACATATTTTCCGGGAAGGTTACCGAAAAATGGCGAAATTTCATGAAGAAGCAAATTAAGAGGGCTAGGAAATTCTTCGATGATGCGGAGAAAGGTGTCACAGAACTCAGCTCGGCTAGTAGATGGCCGGTAAGTGTCTTTAAGTTATGAAACTTTTATGGTTTACATATAAGTTGAGAGAAGCCTCGTAGTTGCGAAATAATTGGACATAGTCGAGTACTTGAATAATATGAAAAACGATAACTTTATTATGCTACGGATGAGATCTCTTATAGCTAGAGCTTGTGGAATCGTTTTGGACTATGTTTATTGTGTGAATCGCTTTCTTTTACAAAGTGTCGGATATATAACATGGAATTATTTTTTTGTACTAATAGATTGGTAGAGTTTGCGAGAATAAGAAAAAAAATGTAACTTTAGTCGTGTAAGTTGCGCACTGGCCTTTTAGTCGTTTAAGTAGACCTTGTATGGAAAAAGTTATAAAACATTACTGTTGATAGGCCTTAAATCTAGTTTATCACTGCACTGAGTTTTCACGGAGTTTCGTTGCTCGGTCAGCAAGTCGGGGGTGAAGTCCCCCTTGTCTGGGTTCGGGGGCGCAGAGTGGCTCCCGGCCCGACGGTATGCAGTGCTGGGCTTTTGAGTTGCTATTAGACCGAGCCCGTCTGATGTATTCTCTTAGAGCTGTACTCAATAAATTTGTTTTTCGTTTCTATATATGGACGTAGCTAGCATATTGTTGGTGAATCACGTGAATCTTCTTTTATTATTCGATCCATAATCCTAATTTGTCACAATAGAGTCGAAACATAAAAGGAATCGTCGTAGTTAATCTTGAGGTGATATTTTGCAGGTTTGGACGGCGTTGGATCTTTACGAACAAATACTAGACGACATTGCGCGCAACGACTACGAAAACTTCAGCAAGAGGGCTTATGTTAGAAGACCAAAGAAGTTTGCTTCATTGCCAATTGCTTATGCAAAGTCTCTTGTTCCTCCATCATCCTTAGCCTCTTCTCCTCTTGTGAAGGGATAGACAGCTTCTTAGCCCTTTATTGCATCCTTTTTGAAATCTGTAAATCAATTTTATTTCTAGGAAAAGGGATTCAACAATATATAGATTTGATAGTCACCATTAACATGGTTGGTTGTTTAAAGAATGATTAGCCATGGCCTGTGAATCTGAATATTGAATGAATTAGTTCAGTAGAAGAATTGGTTTACATGGCCACAATTTGATTCTTCAAATCATCATTTAGTTCAATAGGATGTCTTACCAATTTGAATAACTTTCCTTTATCTATATATATATATATATACTGCTAAAAAAAAAAAAATGTGCACTAGGTAAACCTTCGGCTGAATCTAATATCCTGCAAATTAGGTATGATCAGACAAATCATATTAAGCGAATCAATCTAATATCCTGCAAATTAGGTATGATCAGACAAATCATATTAGACGAATCATATGTGACGTGAGACGTCGGGGCTATTTAAAGAGTTACCATGTCAATTAAAAAAAAAAAGAAAGGAAGGACAATTACTTATGGACCGGGCCCTTCATGGACCGGGTACCATGGACCCGATCCGGTCCGTTTTAAACTACACGGCTGCCGTCTGCAATCAACGAAAATGAAACCAGACCTCGGAAACCTCGAAAATTTCCTCCAATGGGCAGCTGCACTCGGAGTTTCGGACTCTCCGATTTCCGTCGCCGCTTCTTCCTCTTGTCTCGGTCACGCTCTCTGCATTTCTCATTTTCCAGATGCCGGCGGGTGAGTAAAATTTTTATACAAATTCACAATATGCATTACGGCAGAACTGATGGAAACGATGATTTGATGCAGGAGAGGTTTGGCTGCTACGCGGTCGATAAATAAAGGGGAGTTGGTTCTGAGGGTTCCGAAGGAGGCTTTGATGACAAGTGATTGCCTAATAGGGAACGATCAGAAGTTGATGGCCGTTTTGGGGAATTTTCCATTGCTCTCTTCTCCCCAGGTTTGTCTTTCTTCTGTGTGGCGTGTTTAGGGTTGAGCCATTTAATCCTCACTAATTTGTAACAGGTCCTAGTTAAAACCAGTATTGAAAATTAAGCTAAAATCAGCAAAATAGTAATTTGGATTATAATCTCATCCAGAAAATGTAGATATGAATTCGGTAGGTTTTAGTTGCTTTACAATGTAGAAATAATGATGCTTGTTTGAATGGATTTTTTCTCTCTTTTTTTTTTTTTTTTATAAGAAATTAGAGGAAGAAACGATCGATGCAAGTAATCAATTACAATGATACAAAGATATTAACTAAGTTCTCGATTCATTAAAAGATGTTAACTTAGATTGAAGATATGAGGAAGCTGATCAACATTCTGATCGGTTTGAATCTTCATGTGAACTAAGATAATGAGCAATGAATTTAGTGTATATCACTCTTATATAGAATGTGTATCTTGACTTGATTTTAGTATGATCCAGATATTGTCGATCGCCTTGCTTAATGAAATAAACAAGGGCCCAAGTTCTGCATGGTACCCGTACCTAAAGCAGTTGCCTCAAAGTTATGACCTACTCGCAAGTTTTACTCAGTTTGAGATTGACGCTTTACAGGTCAGTTTTGTGCAATGATTTAGTCATTAGAATTCAAGATATAAAAATGATTATAGTCAGACGAGTGGCTGTTGTTGTTGTTGTTGTTGCTAAGAATATTAAAAGTCGTTTGTAGATTGCCGATGCGATTTGGGCTGCAGAAAAGGCTGTCCAGAAAAGTAAAAGTGAGTGGGAAGAAGCTACTCCGATTTTGCGAGCACTTAATCTCAAGATCAAGTTAATTTCCTTCAGTGCTTGGCTCTGGGCATCTGCAACAGTAAGCATTTTGTGATCTAGTAAATTATTAATTAACTCTCATTCCACTCGTCCGAAAACCTCTTAAAGCTACTCCAGTTTAGCGGACACTTATTCATTTTTGTCTTTCAATCTTTCAATGAAAATAAACAATGTAAAGATAGCTAGGGGTGTTTGTAAATTCTCACTTTAGATTTAATAATCGAAAATGGAAACAAAACACGAGCACTCTTTCCTTGAAATCTCAGCAGCCACTGTTATAAATTATTTCGCTTTTTATGAAGATATCATCACGCACGATGCATATACCGTGGGATGCTGCTGGCTGTTTATGCCCTGTTGGTGATTTCTTTAATTATGCACCTCCAGGTGAAGCTCCCCATAGTCATACAGACGATACAAATACCGATAGGTTAACAGATGCTGGTTATGATGAAGCACTCGGATGCTATTGCTTCTACGCTAAAAGAAACTATGAAAAAGGAGATCAAGTACGGCTCTAATATGATCTTATCTTATGTTTCTGATTTTTATGCATCTAGTCTTGTGTGCTTCACATTGCAAATTATTACATCGAATTGCCCTTATTTCCTTTGGATGTTAATTTTTTTTTGGTTTTGTTGTGCTCAGACATCAAACTCGTATGGTAGAACAACACTTATCTAATGCATTTCTTCTCTGTTATCAGTTTATTGCAATATTATAGACAGTGTGTGTGTCTGCATCAAGGTATGATCTTATTCAATGTTGATTGTTTCTAGCGAGGACGGAAGGAAAGGGAATTGTGACAATTGTCTACTCTTTTGTTAGGAAGCAAACAAATGCTTAGCTTTTCTTTAAGGCGTAGCTCGATGTAATGAGTGGTTTGACCTGAAGCACACATAGATAACATAGGCAGAAGAAAAGCATTGTAACAAAAATATCAATTGTATGCTACTATGCTTGAAATCCTTTTTGGTGCTTGTAGGTGTTGTTTCCCATCTCTTAGCGGCGTACATGGTTCTTTGAGCATGTGTTTCTGTATCTTTACTTTGAGTTAATATAAATTCCTCCGCTGCAAAATTCATGCTTTTGTTAATACTGTGGAAAGCAGCATTTAAATAACTCGGTATTACCATAAATTACAAAGAATCATCATATTTAGGAGCAAAAGTGTATATTTCATAGTTTCTTTCTTTTTTTATAGATTTGTGATTTACAAAGTCTGCACCATCCTCCCTGTGATTTTAAAACTGTATGGAATTCTCTCGTGTTTTGGAAAATATGATACATAATCTCTAAAAATTGCGCAATTCATGCGCTTTCTAATCACGAGGGTTGCGAACTTTTCAAACCACTAAGTAGGTTATGAACAATTTTGCCTTTTATTTTTAAATTTTTTGCTTAATATGTTTGTTTGATCGGGAGTGCAGGTTCTGCTAAGCTACGGAATGTACACAAATTTAGAGCTTCTTGAACACTATGGGTTTCTCCTGCAGGACAATCCGAATGATCAGGCATTCATTTCCTTGGAGCCTGAAATGTATTCCCTCTGTTCTTGGCCCAAAGATTCACTCTATATTTCCCGAGATGGAAAGCCGTCATTTGCTCTTCTCTCCACCATTCGGCTGTGGGCGACACCATTGAGCAAGCGAAAATCAGTTAAACACATTGCACTCTCGGGCCATATTATCTCAGCTGAAAATGAGAGCGCGACAATGGAGTGGATGATGCAGAAATGTGAGACATTGTTGAGCAGTTGTTCCACCTCAATTGATGAAGATGTGAAATTGGTAGATATTGTTGAAAAACTTGAAGACTATAATTCAACAGATGCAGAATACAGAGATTTGTCGATATGTGATGAGATTCGCGGCTTCTTGGAAAGCCACAGCTTTAGACTACCTTTATCAGTGAAGTCGAAAAGCTTCATCTACAAGTGGAAGATGGCAATCGAATGGAGACTTAGTCGGAAGAGAATTTTGAGGGATTGCATCTCATATTGTCGTGCCATGTTAAACAATGATTCTTGATGAGTTAGTACTAAAACTTTTTCGAAATTTTTGTGTTCTGTATTGAATAGGACCTCGATACAAGGTTTAAACTTAGGAAGACAAGTCAAACAATGTGATATTCTCAAGTTCTTTTAAGATTCCTTGTATATCATTAGTTTAATTATTTTATACAATTCATGATAATTTATTTATTTCAATATACTTTTATAATTAAAAATTTAAGATATTAATTATGTAAATTGCAATAATATTATTATTTTTAAATAAATTTTAAAATATTAAAATTTTAGAATTTTTTAGATTAGTTATATATGAAAAATTAAATATAAAATTTTAGATATTTAAATTTAATATAAAAAAAATCTAAATACATAAAATTGTGTTTTAAATTCAAATCACATTTGTTTGGATAAATTCGCAATAAATTTGAAATTTTTAATTCTTTTCTTAATAAAATAATACACGCATTATAATTGTAATGACATTATAATTTCAAATTACTTTCAATACTACTCACCAAACACAATATAATAAAAATAAGGCTAAATTGCATAAGTGGTTTTATAAAATTGAACCAAATCCCTATATTTTTCAAACTATGTCAAACTTTTTCTGATTATATTTTTCAAACTATGTCAAACTTTTTCGCGATTTCAGAAACTGTGCGTCGTCTAACCGGTCTTTAATTAACGATATTTTGACCTAAATGTGCTCAAACTGCAAATAAACTTTAAAAATTCAATTTCTAAATTCCTAAAAAATAGTAAAAATAAATTATTTTTGAATATATTTACTATTTTTTGTGTGTATTTACTATTTTTGTGCAATTTAGCTTTATAATAAAGTATTTCTCATTATAATTTCAAATTACTTTCACTACTATTCAATAACTCTCATTCACAACCAAACAAACCCAAAAGGTTTACAAAAGTTAGCAAATTAAATACAGGCATTTTGAACTGCTGCTGTCAAAAGTGAAGTGGTGACTGTTCCCAAAATGAAAAAGCTTCATCTCTGATGATAGTAACATCTCAATTAATTGTAGCTCCAATCACAACTTTGCTACATAATGTAAAACAAAAGCAAATAACATAACGGCAATATTTGTTCTTAGAAAAAATAGTGACCTTTATGGAAACATAACAAAATTGATGGTCAAATTCCCATAGTTGAATCCACCAATAGCAAACACAATGAGATTCGTATCAATATATTTCTCACAGATGAATTCAAAATAACAGACTGCTTACTCTAATGTTCTTAACAGAACAAATGCATAAATACAATTCAATATCGCAATTACAACAAAACAATTAAGACAAGAAGAAACAAACACAAAAATTCAATGCAATCTCTGGACCAGTAAATCTCATTATTTGATTGTTCTAAACAACAAAAACTCAGTTCTGTAATAATTTTCATAATGTAGCAGGAGACAGGTAGCAAGATGCCACGAAAAGATTAGCACCATGCTGTTTAAAACTGTCACATTTTATCTATGCTTCGGAAACATGAATTCCCATCACTTTATCAGAAGGGGTTCACCAGTAAGAAGCAACTACACAAGTATAAACTATAAATTTCAAAGAAACCAATGATGTTGCAACCCAGACAATCTAGCAAGCTATATCAAAAATTACAGCTAACAGGATAAAAGCAAATCAGGGCTGCATAAATCTCTCTATGCTTTGATTGACACGTCTATCAGAGGACTAATAAACGCAACGCCTCACGAAAGCAATACAACATAATTAAACTTATAAAGTAGTGTTTTGAATAAAAAAGTAGTTGAATTTCTGTGGTGTTTCCGGGATCTAATGGTACGGATAGAAAAACACATTGATCAGGATAGCCACATTGGAATCTTGCGCCCGAGCCATTATGCCAAGAGGAACAGATTATCCCCCAGAATTGGTAATGGGCGCATTGTTACACCTCAAAAATCAAATCAAGAACCTCGAGAAAACTATCATCTCATAAAATTTAAAAAAAAATTGAGGAAAAAATCTCATCTTATTGTTAAGATGAAAAATCAAAATAAAACTACAAAGTTCCAAATTTGCTCGGTGGAAGGAGAAGTCGTGTATTGATGGGCTCACGGAGATGAATCCACTGCCCTTAAAGCACCCAAGGGTGCCTAATCTCGTCATCGCAGACACTTGAAAACACTCAAATCGAAGATAAAAGAGGTTAATATCTAAATGCCATAAGAGGCAAGGCTTCAGTGTGTGTAACAAACAGATCCTTGATTATTTGAAATAATCTCACTGAAATCCGCTAAGATAATTGCTTATCATCATAAGCCATATGTAATTTTCTAAACCACACAAAAAAAAAACTTTTTTACGAAGATTTGTGTGCTCAGACAGCCAAGGGTTAGTCTTCAACTGCAAGATCAGAAACTCTAGTCCATATAAAAATGCATCATCACGGCACACAAATCAAACAATGTATCGAAAAAATTTTAAATTTTCCTTAAAAAATACAAATAAAAAGACTCGTAGATGATAGACACCTACAACACACTTTTAAAAATGTGAACTAATTGATATCACGCTAACAAGAACAACATTAGATCATTCAAAACAGCGGATCAGATTTCTGGCTTGAATTTCTCAAAATTTGGAGAAATACGTAATAATAGCACAGTATATTCAGCTTCGATCATGTGGGGAAATAATCATCACATCCATGTTGCCGTTCAAAATTAAGAAGAAAAAAAGAATCAAATTTATACACAAACTAAGAACGTATGTGTAGATGGATCAGAAAATCTGGCTTGGATTTTCTCCACAAGAGAGAAAAACACATAAAGAGCGCTCAGTAATTTCAGCGTCGAATCATCTGGGGAAATACTCATCACTTCCATCTCCACATTAAATTAAAAACGCAAAAATAATTCACGCAGAATCGCAAATAAAACATCATCAAAATTTCACCTGTCCTGTCCAGACTGAAGTTCCATGCAAAGGAATCTCACGTTTCAAAAACAGGACCGGATCTATGCAGATCTGGCGTCGGCTCATGCGCAACGCCCAATTTCAATCGAAGAGCGCCGGCAATCAGTAATCGACGCATAATACTGAATAAAACATTGCTAACGATGCCATAGCCATGGCACTGAAAAAGGGTTTGGAAGAAATATTGAAAATTAACAAACCTGTGATGAAGGCTGCAATTGTAATGGCTTTGAAACAACTAATGGTGTGCATATATATAGCGAGAGGCGTCGCCGTCAGAATCGGGGCATGGCGAACGTTTCCTATGAAACCCTAATTACAGAATAGGAAATACGTCTAAATCAGAGAAGCCCATCGGGCCAAATTGGCCCAGCCCGCTAAGTTCAATACTCGCCTATACTTATTTCACCGCTAGATTTAACTCACTCTCTTGTTTGGGGCAACCAAAATATCGTAAATTTGAAATTTGGATCCGAATCATAGTGAAATTTAAAATCTGGTTCGAAATATTGTAAAATTTTGAATTGATTTGGATTGAAAATTTTATAATTTTCAAAATTTTAGATTGATTTGGATTTTAAACTTTATAAATTTTGAATTTTTGGATCGATATATTAAAAATCTAAATCAATCCAAAATTGAAAGTATGGTATTTTAATATATTTTATTTATATATTTAAAATTTTAATAGAAATAAAAAATTAAAAATTATGAATTATATTTTAATATACTTATTTTATTTATTATATATATTTAATATTATATACAATTACAAAAATATTTTTTTTTTAAAAAAAAAAAGAAATTCAGATTATTTCGGTTCAGTTCAAATTTTCTAATTTCGGATTAGGATTTTAATCGGTTCAAATTTAGCAAAATCCAATCCGAACCGAAGTAATTATAATATTTTGTAATATTAATATATATTTAAAAATTCATTAAGTTTTTTTTCACAAAATACTTCATCAAAATAAAAATTCAAATCTACATTCTAATTCAAATAATAAATTTTTATTTAAATAATATTTTGATATAATTATTTTATAAAAAAAATAATACCCACTTACAATGTTTACGTATTTCTATTTTGGGCCGTCTAATTACAAAGTTATCAATTCATTAAATACTCTACTGTTTTTTACAAATACCCTTAATTTACATCACATCGTTACTTTTATTAAAAAAAAATAATAATAATTATAAGTGGATGGAGATAATAATTTTATTAAAAATTGTTTTTCCATCCAAGATTTTAACTCCTTTTTTAAACAGATTTTTTTGGGTAGTCAAAAGTTCCAAAGTTAGCTGTACAAACATAGTATTATTCTTTGCCGTACAAAAATTAAAAGCTTCTTAACCCAAAAAATGTCTCAAACTCTCTCCATTGAAGCCATAACAGATCCTTAAATCAAGATGTCTCTTCAATACAAACAATAATTCGGAACATAAATTAACCGAAACCTCAACCAAGAAAGCAAAATAAGTGCGTAGTTAGTTAATCACAACGAGATTTTCAAGCTTCTCAAAGTGGAACTGAGGAGCGAAAGTTTCGAAGGGGATTGTTGCTTGTAGATTTTCTCTAATGCCAGCCCGGAAAGCGATTGCAGCTCCAGGCTGTCCTTGTCGTCTTTGTTGCCCCGCCCTTTCGTCAGCTGTGCAATAGCTGAACCACACTGAAACAAAGGTTCATCAGAGCAAGGCAAAATCGATAGTCATGAAAAAGAATTAAGAAACAAATGCAATTAACTACCAGGCATATGCCAAAAAGGGCTCGGATATTCTTGCCACCGGTCAAATCTACAGTTGCTGCATAGTACTTTTTCGCTGAATGAAGATTTTCGAGTCCTCCAATTGTGTAGAGCACCTATTTGTGAGAGTGATGTTAATGGAGGAAAGGAATATTATAACATTGTTCTTGTATCCAATAAAAGTCGCGATTTTGTTAAGCACTCGTATCTTCAACAATCGGAATAAAAACAGATGTGTCGGGATGATACTTACATCAGCATAGGCGAGGTGATATAATGGACTGGTAGGTTGAGATAAGATGAGCTCTTCGTAACAGAAGACTGCCTGCTTATACCTAATAACAACCATAAAATGGAAAGGTTTGATTATATAAGAAAGTATTACTCGCAACAACATAATCTACAACATTAACATTAGCTATCCGTCCTCGAAGCTATTGTCAAATAAGATGAATAAAAAACAGAAAGAAAGAAAGAACGGAAGTTACATTTGTAGAGAGACGTAAATCTCAGCTAGTTCTCTCCATGCATCGTGATCTGCCATGAATCTGGATCATGATCAAACAAGCATCCATCATAATCGATTGGGAGTTCTTCAAAGAAATTAAAATTGGTTGGTTTTTAACTTTTTCTTACATTTCAAGATACTTGTTTAACCACTCGATTGCCCGTGGAAGATCGCCTTGTGCCTTCGCCATTGCCACCCTTCTTCTGTGTATTACCTGCAGAGTGAGTTACATGATATATATATATATATTTGATTACGAAATCGCATTTATTGAATGGATCGAAAAGCGTGGGGAATTCCAGCTAAAATTAATTATGTGTGTTTATTACAAAGCAAAAACAAATCCTGAAACTAATTCTCCACAATTATGATTATGATACAAATTAAATTTATCTTCTCACCTGATCAAATTGATTGTCTTCCAAGAGACTTGAGTAAGCCTTTTCAGCCTCCGCCCATACACCCTTGGCTTCAAGCATCATTGCTTCCAACCTACCTGCAAGGGTAAATTGTCTTAAAAAGTGTGTATGCCAAAGAATTTTACTTATATTCAATGACGACACATACAAGCATTTGAAAGCATTGTACACAGAAATGGAAGCAACTAGAATTATAATCATGACAAAGCAGCTGGCTAACCCGAAAGCCAGCCACCCCATTTTCAATAGCCTAGAAAGATAACTTGTTTTTTTCTCAATAATACAGTACTCTCAATCTATAGAAGAAAGATCGTCAGTTGTTAAACAAAATTTTCGAATTTATACTAAAATTGTTTCATAGCCCCGACATCCCACTGTAACACTTAAGCCTTCTAATTTCTGCACTAACTTCTTAAACCCTAATAGCTATCAATAATTGGGAGATCTCAAAGCAATCCCATAAAATATCACATTGTTCCACAGCTGATTTTCTGACAAAGAAAGGTTTTGTAATTCCACAATGGGAAACCTAAAAGCAAAGAGGATATAAGCAACACTTTGACTCTACGATTTCAGAAATTGGCTGATCTATTTCAAAACTAGCTAATATAAACCCCCAATTCCATTTCAAATATTGGCAAATAGATATTTACAAAACTATTACCGGCTATTTCAAACATGGCCTACCCCCTTTCCAATCACATCGATGACACAATCTCATGCTTTAAACATTGCAACAGGCTCAGACTCAGGAAACCAAAATAATCTGTACGCACAATTACTGCAGCATACTACAAATAATCATCAAGGATGCATGTATGGGTATAATTTCCCACGTTTAACTCACCAACACGTTTACTCCCTGGAAACTTTCTCTGTAAGGACTTCATACATTCCTGAAAAGAGAGCGATAGAATATTTTGTTTACATACATTTCTTCTCTATTATCTGAAAAGTAGAAGAATGAAAGCATACTAGAAATGATTAAATATTAACATGGACATATAAGGTAAAACCTAAATTAATCGAGCAAGGCCTATAATTGAGGGTCCTGCTAGCTCACATAGGCATACATAAAAAACACAAACAAACAAATATTTGATAATTATAAAATATGAAACTGGCCATATATTGCCAGAAATTGAAAGAGAACAGGAGAAACCAGTTACAAAACCTCTACTCATTATGATTGAAAAACAATGTATGGACTCGAACAGAGACTAAATCACATTAGTATGAACCAAAAGCTAGTCTTTATTGGAGTTCCCAATAATTGGCATCAAATCTTCTCTAGTGGCAACAATTATTTTAATTAGTAGGGTATCTTCACCTCCTTGAAAACTATAATGAAGATTAAGTTTCAAAGAAATTAATTTCAATGCAACGAGGAAAAAATTACAAACAGAGGAGAGGATATGGTTCCTCAATTTCACATATTGTATCAAACATTAAAAGGAAAACAGAATATTTACCTTTGCCACATCAAGTTGCTGACAGTCCATAGCTGCAACAGCCACTTGCTCATATAGAGTCCATTCTGAATGATCCATGGAATTAAATAAGGAGATTTGTCAATCCATAACATAATAAAAGGTGTTGGGAGATTCGATGCTATCCTTCACAAGAAGAATATATGTGCGTGTGTGTGTGTTCTGAGCTCATGGTTTTTCAGTAAATACACAAAGGAATGTTCTTACCAAATCACTAAAATAGACACCAATCAACGAAAAAACTGCAAACCACTATGAAATTGCTTAACCATTTCTCTTGGTCAAGGAGCATCACAAAATGAAGAATAATTATAACAGGAAACACCCCATCATAATCCACTTGTGTAGCTACAAAAAACAATAGGAGACAGGGAATTCAAACCACCTACAACAACTTTTCAATTGTAACTTTGAAGGTCTCAGAAAAATAACAAATATTAGAGGCATCATACAAAAGAATTATATTCAAACCAATAATTATTTCAATTTTCCCACACCATTCTGCATATAAAAATGCACATAGAATAAAGAATATGGACATGAAACCTCCAAAATAATCACCCATTTGTTAGATTAGAAATTTCAGTGCCTTTACAAATTAGAATTTTATCTTACAATAGATACAAGTGTCGAGGCAGGCATATACTTGTATTGAAATCTTTAAAACTATAAAAAATTACGGCCAGATTCAAAACTAAAGAGCACGAATCAATCTATCGCATACATACCTTCCGGGCCAAGAGCAGATCGCTTCTTAGGGTCGTTCAGAATCGAGACGCCGTGCTTCAAGACCTTGTCGGAGCGGCGGAGCTTGAGCTTTCTAACGAGGCTGAGGTAATCCCACGAATCGCCTCCGCCGTTTTCGACTTGGTTTTCCAAACTATTTAGTCGCTCTTCCTCTGTTTTGCTTACCATTTCTCCACTTCTCTCCGGCCCCCTGCTGCGCTGTCGGCGTTCGAATCCGTCGGTACGCCCAAGGAGGAAGGAAGGATCCGATGAAGAAAATACTACTAAATAAAATTTTATAATTCAATAAATTAGTTTGCACAAAGCATCCCGGATATTTGGGGTGAGTTTTTTTTTTTTTTTTTATATAAAAAAAAAAAAAAAAAAATTCGTTACCCCATATAAGTTTAGCTAGCGTGATTTACTTTGTGGGACTTAGTTTGTTGGTATTAAATTTGCCGGAGGTGGGCACTTTCAGGTATTGATTGATATTCTATGACAAAAATAATAAGAAAAAAAGAACTATTAAAAGAAACATTAAACATTAAAAATACAATATATTATTATGAATAAAAAATCTCCATTGCAATGAATAATTTTGTAATTACATATTATACTTTCCTCATTTTCAATCCAAATAATTAAAAAATAATAATAATCTATTAATTTAGTTAGTAAAAATATATAAAATATTTTTGTTCCTTTTAATTTATGAATAAATTAATTGTATATATAATTTTTATAAAATTTAAATAATATTTTAATATTAATATATAATTACTTTTATTATAATAAAAAAATACTTTTAAGTAAAAAAAAAGGAAAAAAAATAAAAATAATACTTTCACTAAGAACAGAAAGAGTACATCATATTTTCTAACTAACATTTACCACTACAACCACTTTCACCTACATCTTCACTATTTCCAAACCATTTCCGTCACTTCCGCCAATGTCATTGTCTGGATTTTTATCATTATAGAGAATATAATGTAATTGTAGTTTCCCTGTAACTATTGTTCTTGGACAATAGCAACATTCGATTAGTAGTGCTGGCGCGACTACCATCTTCGATATGCTCCTTTCCATTAACAATACTTGCATGAATGTTCTTTAACTAAGCAATCCACTCGCCGTCTTGATCTTAATCCAAGATCTCGAGGGATGCCTATACCCGAGCGAGTTCAACTGATCTCACATCGAGCTATTTTTATTTTTATTTTGTTATATTTATTATTTTATTTGGCGGGCCTCATTGAGCCACTTATGAAGCTTGGTTCAGGACGGGGAATGAATTTCAACAAATCAATATACATTATTGACAGGTTGATTAGCAGTTTTCTTATCGTCCTCAACGCAGACTTCATGCATCTTTCAAAAAAGCTCAGCAGCATCATCACTCTCTCTTTCTCGTTAAATAACAAAAAGGGCTAAAAATATTTTCATGTTTTGGGTTTCAAGAAATTTTTATAGCTGTGGTGATGCATTCACAACTTTGTTGGGGATATATTTATAGTTAAATTTTGGCTCAGAAATTATTGTGATGGATTATACTTTTACAATTTTAGTTTGTAGATAATTGGTAACTAAAATTATAAATTGGTAACAAAAATTAATGCAGGAATATCACTTAAAAAAAAATTAAAATTTTAATAATTTCACATACTATTTCAATAATTTAGTCCAATTTTAAATGATTTTTTGCATAAGATATGGTAATATTAATTTTATTCAATAAATATATTTTCATGTACCTAAAAATATCATTGTGCCAATAATTAAGTTACTATTTACAAAACTGGTAACTAAAATTGTAAATTGATAAAAATAAAAAATAAAAATTAATGCAATTATATCACTAAAAATAATGGAAAATCAAAAATTTTAATAATTTCATATATTATTTAAGTAATTTCTTTCAACTTTAAATGATTATCCACATAAAATATGATAATATTAGATTTATTCAAAAATTAATTTTTCGATTCTAAAAAATATTATTTTACAAATAATTATGTTACTCATTGAAAATATACATACTAATAATTCTTAGAAAAATCAAGCAATTACTAATTCATATAGCATACAAAAGTAACAAAAATCAAACATAAATTAATATTACAACTTTAATAAGTATAAATTTTATAATCCTCTTTCCGAAGGTACCAATGAAAGAAATTTGGGTTCTATTTTTCTTTTTATTAAAAAAATGAAAAAAAAAAAAAAAAGAGAGAGAACGAGTTTGTTCACCAATCATTTTTTTTGGCACGATTCACTATAAATATTATAAAAAAAAATAATACACCCTCCGTCCGCTTTAAAAGTTTATGTTTACCTTTTGCATCATTGTACTTAATATTAAAAATATCATTGTATTAGTATAAATTTGTATATATTTGTATTATAAGATATTAATAGAAGGTTTTTTTATCTTGTTTACTTAATTTATACTATATTTTGATATAATAATTAATATTAGAAAACAACACATAAAAAGTAAATATAAACCTTTAAGATGGACGAAAGGAGTATATACTTATATTAATACAATACGCAATATATATTATTTACTCATAAAAAATTAATAATTAAACACAAAATATTATTTTTTATATAAAAAACAAATTCATCCAAAAAAAAACTAAGTGAACAAACCCAATATATGTAAAAAACAATGAGAGAAATATTAAATATTATATACATAACAAATTAAATTACTCACCATAGATCGAACAACATGTAGCTAATGGTTTATCTGCGAGTTTTTAAAGTGTGGATTACAAGTCATGACCATATAAATGATAATGTGTGTTTAGCAGAGAGGTATGAATGACGAATAAACATTAACCTTTATATAGGTCGTGCCGTATTTTATTTAAGCGTAAGTCATTAATGACTTTTTAAAACAAAAATTATAGCCGTGATCTAATGCAATTCAATTTAAGATTTTATTGATAAAAAAAAATCACTAAATTATTACACTCTTTGTTAGTGATAGTAGTATATGATATTATTTTTTTTATTTTTTATTTTTTATGAAAATGGTGATTTATATTTTTAAATTAAAATAAAAATTAATATATAATTTAAAATATATATTTAAATATTTTAAATATAATATTTCAATAAAATATGTATAATATGAATATTATTTTGTAAATAATAAATTTTTATATAATACTCTCTCCCTCCATTTTGAAGGTTGACATTTGTTTTTTTATATTGATTTTTAAATATTAATTATTATATAAAAAAATATAGTACAAATAAAGGGAAAATGATAAAAATATTTTTATTATTATCTTATAATACAAATAAAATAACATCTGTGTAAAAAATTATACAAATATAAGAATATTTTTAATGTTAAGTACAATGACGCAAAATGTAAGTGTAAATTTATTAAGTGGACGGATGTAGTATAATTAAATAAAAAATGTTTTTATTTATCTATGATTAATATAAACTAATCTTTTTAGAAAAATAGAGAATTATATGTAAATATAGATAAATATATATATATATATTTTTTTTTTATTGAGGGGGTGTGTTTACTTGTTAGATTTGAGGTTTGGTTTTAAATAGTAAAATTTTGAATTAAAATAGTTGTTTGATGTGATATAAATATATATTGATGCAATGTTTTGAATGTAAAATTTAATTTTAGTGTAATATAATAAATAAAAAATAGATGTTTGATGTAATATTTTTAGGGATAAAAATATTGAAATAGTAAAATATAAAACCAAATCACAGATTTTGAGAAAAATTAAGGAGAAAAATAAAAAAATAAAAGGGTTTTGAATAAAATTAAAGATGGATAAGAATAAAAATGTTTTGAATAAATTGAAATTAAAAATTTAATTAAATTAATTTGTATTTGTTAAATATTTTTATTATTATAAATTTATTAAAAATAAAAATATATCAATTGTTATAATATACTAAAATAGAAAATATATCAACTGTTATAATATACTAAAATAAAAAATATATCTAATTGTTATATCAAAACATTATATTCACTAGTATGCCCCAAATCCAACCACATTATTTACTTCCAATAATAGCCAATTTCACACTTCCCTCCAATGAAATTATGAAAAAGGAAAAAAAAAAAAAAAAAACTATTAAAAGAAATATTAAACATTAAAAATACAATATTTTTATTATGGATAAAAAAATATTTTGTCAAATTAATAATTTTGTAATTATCAGTTATACTTTTCTCATTTTCAATCCAAACATAATAAATTAAAAAATAATAATATTTTATTAATCAGTAAGAGTAATGCAAAGTATTTTTGATAATTTTGTTCTTTTTAATTTGTAGATAGATTAATTGTATATATAATAATATATTTATAATTTCTATAAAATTTAAATATTATTGTACAATAACTTTTACTATAATAACATAAATACTTTTGAATAAAAAAAATATTTTCACTAAAAACAGAAAGACTACATCATATTTTTTAACTAACATTTACCACTACAATCACTTTCACCTACATCTCCACCATTTCCGCCGCTACTTCCGCCAATGCCATTGCCTGGATTTTTATCATTATAGAGAATATAATGTAATTGTGGTTTCCCCGTAATTATTGTTCTTGGACAATAGCAACATTCGATTAGTGGTGCCGGTGCGACTATCATTTCCGATGTGCTCCTTTCCATTGACAATACTTGCATGAGTGTTCTTTAACTAAGCAATCCACTCGCCGTCTTGATCTTAATCCAAAATCTTGAGGGATGCCTATACTCGAGCGAATTCAACTGATGTCACATCGAGTTATTTTTATTTTTATTTTGTTATATTTATTATTTTATTTGGAAGGCCTCGTTGAGCCACTTATGAAGCTTGGTTCGGGAAGGAGAATGAATTTCAACAAATCAATATACATTATTGACAGGTTGATTGGAGGTTTCCTTATCGTCCTCAACGCAGACTTCATGCATCTCTCAAAAAAGCTCAGCAGCATTATCACTCTCTTTTGTTAAATAATAAAAAAGGCTAAAAACATTTTCATGTTCTGGGTTTCAAGAAATTCTTGTATATGTGGTGATGTATTCACAACTTTGTTGGGATATATTTATAGTTAAATTTTAGATTAGAAGTTATTGTGATGAATTATATTTTTACAATTTTAGTTTGTGGATAATTGGTAATTAAAATTGTAAATTGGTAACAAAAATTAATGCAGTAATATCACTTAAAAAAAATTAAAAATTTTAATAATTTCACATACTATTTCAATAATTTAGTCAATATTTAAATGCTTTTTTTGCATAAGATATGGTAATATT